GGGAGGAGATGCGTCCCTGACCTTCTCCCAGCCTCCTGAGATGCTGAGCCAGAGGAGCCTCCCAGGGAAGGTCAGATCAGGGCTGGGGATGGACAGGGCATAAAGGTGAGGTTAGAGCCTTACCTGAAGTCAGGAAGTAATAGGGAGAGTCGCCATGGATCCCAACCACACCTGGCCCAAGGGCATCGGCCAAAATATTGATAACAGAGAAGACACCACTGATGATACCGAAGGACAGACCAGAAACTGGGGGGAGGGAGGCGCTCATCAACGTCCAAGGCTACCACAGCGCTATTACCAGCACCTCTCCCGTGCCCAGTGAGAACTCCACCGTACCTACTCTCCCTCCAGACTCCACACTGCCTCTCCTTGGATGTCAAGGATGAAGAGAAACACTTAGCACATTACCCTGAAGGGGAGGAGGGGGTGTTCAACTCCCTCCTCTGGTCCCTCTCCCTTGGCTCACCATAAGCCATCTGACGGATGGAGATGGGTGATCTTCCGTCCTCACTCAGTGATGCTAAGCCCTCATCTGCCTTCCTGGGATAAGAGAGAGGAATATAAGAGAGGGCAAGGATGTTCTTTTCCCTCCAAGACCCTCCCTTTAACGCCCCTTATTCCAACCACCACCCAAGGGCTGGCCCACTTTCCACAATGCACACCACTGTCCCCTCTCCCTTCCAGACCACCCCGGTCCTTACTTAAGGAGCTTGTAGTAGGCAAAGCGGAACACTTCCTGTAGAAGGACAGAAACAGCAGCACCAAAAATCAGGAGGCCATACTGGAGCCGGGCATCTGATCGGTCTGTCACATGGACCAAGATGAACCAGACCACAGAGGCCAAGAGCAGGGAGACCAGCCAGAAAAAGGCTCTGAGGAAACACAAGGACAATGAGAGGCAAGTATAGGGGCAGCCAGGAAAATCAAGGAGGGAACCAGCCAAGGCTGCAGCATGAAAAGTGGAAGTTAGACTTCCGGATGGTCAGGGAGACAGGTACCAGGTAGGATAAGTGTCTCCACCAACAGAATCATCTGTAGGAATCTGCAAGCAGCAGAAGGGGAAGAAATCTGGTTAGAGTCTTCAGTGAGATGAGAGTCAAAGTGTACGCCGACACGGGCGGACGGGTAGGGTATCCATTCCTGGGTCCTGGCTGGCCGAGGTCAGCACAGCCCCCTCACTACTCTCGGCCTTGGGCCTTCTCTGGCACTGCCGGGAAGACTACAGGAGGAATCTGTGAAATCCCTGGAAGGCGGAAGCCGACTGCGGAAAATCGCCTAGACCACGATTTGACCCTGTCCAACCTTTTCCTACTTCTGTTTCCCAACTCAGGCTCCCATGCTCGCCCCAGTTCCTCCAGCTCTTTCCGCATCATTTTCTCTACGCTTGGCCCCGTCTCCACCACTCGCTACTCACCCCGCGACCAGAATGATAACCCGAAGCGGGTCTCCAGCTACAGTGATCAGGAAAAGGGCGAACGCTGGGCCGAACGCGACGAAGGTGCATCCGAAAAACACAGCAGCCCCCATGACTGGGCAGCTGGGGGCGGGAGGGAGCCCCGGCCAAGGGAGGCAAAAGGGAGCAGCGCGCCGGGGGGAAGTCCGCGTGGGGCGGCGACGCAACCCCACGAGGGGCGCGGTGCAATGTCACCCCCGGACCCCGGGGAAGGGGAAGGGGGGGCACCGAAACCCCGGACGAAGGTCCGCCCGACCTCGTCTACGGAAGCCGAAGAGGGAACAACCCCCGGTCGCTGCCCCATGGCCACCTCCCATCTAATCCCCACCCCCGGAAGGCCAATGAATACTTGATGGGGAGGAACTGCAGAGGCGGGGTCGTGGCAGCATGGCCTTCTGGGAGTTGTAGTCTGTCAATCCTTTGAGCCCTCCACTTGGTGCTGGGAGTGGCTCCAGAAGAGTGGGTCGGGACTGGGCCCAATCAGGGCAAGGATTCCTGGGTTCGCTTGTGCCAGGTTTCTTTTCATTACTCTGTGGAGAAGGGTAATAACAATCATACCTATTTCTAGAAGAGCTTTGGCGGGGAAAGATCCTGTTTGAATCTAGAGATAAATATAAAAAAAGAGCCCAAGATAGGGATTGTAAGAAGATAGGGATGGGCATTGTTCTTACTTGAATTAGAGGAAATGACCCAGAGAAGCACACTAAGGGATCAAAGTCGGTCTTAGAAATTGGAGCTCTTTGAGCAGCCTCGTATGGGAATTAAATGGTATAATCTGTTTCAAATGAAGATTTCACCTATATTCTGTGACGACAGAGTCAGAGAAGCAAGAGGAGCCAGGAGAGAAATATTAGAAAAATGTTTAGAAAGAATCCAGGAGTCAAAAAGCACCGAGAACACAGAGACGGAGGGGAAATGACAGCCGACAGCCCCCACCCCCTACCCTGAGCCGCTTAGTTCCCTTGATGTCACACTTCCTCTATTTATATTTCAAAAAATAAACTTGAGTGGTGTCTTTTCCTCAAGCTGGGGGCGGGGGGTTGTACTAGAAAGAATCATCATTTGTATGCGTACAGATTTGTCCTTAGGGGGATACATGAGCAAAAGAATCCCACGATGGGATCGGGATCAGATCTGGAAAATTGTTTTTGAGAGTGTAATCAAAGCAACAGCAAACTACAGAAGTTGTTTGGCGAAAACCAGGCTTCCTGGAAGTGATTTTTTATTTAATACATGTATGCTACTCATACAGAGGATGTTTTACACTTCTTTTTCCCCCGTAAATTCCAGAAAGAAACTGAGAAACAGGTTTTTGTTAAAAGACATCAGGCACATCGTGTCACATAGTTAAGAGGATGGGAACATCCTGGCCAGTGTGCCCTGCAGGCTGAGTTAGGGGAAATACAGACAAGATAGCCCTTCTTTCTCTCTGTGAACCGTCAATGGAACATTGCCTGACTGACTGTAGAGAGCAGCCCGGAAAACTTGTCTTGTGAATGGTGATTCCACAGACACTTGCATAATGCTCCAGGGACTCAGAGTGCTCCAGGGACTCACAGAGCTCCAGGGACTCAGAGTGCTCTAGGGACTGACAGTGCTCCAGGGACTCACAGTGCTCCAGGGACTCACAGTGCTCCAGGGACTAACTTTAGAGGCTGAGCAAGTATTTATTATGTATGTGGAGTTTTGTTTGGTTTGGTTTTTCAAGACAGGGTTTTTCTGTGCAGCCTTGGCTGTCCTGGAACTCACTTTGTAGACCAGGCTGGCTTTATCTACCAGCCTCTGCCTCCCGAGTGCGGGATTAAAGACGTGCATCACCACGTCCACTGTTTGTGAGATTTTAAAATATACTTTATTTTCTTTTTGTATTTGCTTTGTATCTTGTTTTACAAAGTTTACAGATTTATGCCAAAATGTAAGGAAAGTAGTCATTTATTTGGAACGAACTTGTAGTCATATGTCATCTTACTTCTTCTACTCTCTTTATATATTTTATTGTTGTTTGGTGTATGTGGTCTTTTGTTTGTTTGTTTGGTTTGGTTTGGGTTTCTTGAAACAGGATCTCTCTATGCAGCCCTGACTGTCCTGGAACTCACTCTGTAGACCAGGATGGCCTCGAACTCACAGAGCTCTGCCTCCCAAATGCTGGTATCAAAAGGGCCATGACACTACACCTGGCATTGTCTTGTTTTATAATTGTCTTGTCTGTGAAGTCTCAATTGCCTAACAGACTAATAGTTCATTGTACCGAATAAATATGCTACTGCTTCTGAATTGAACGGAATGAAAATAGGAAATAGGGGAGCAGACAGAATGATGAGGAAGATGCCGTGTGTCTGAAAGTGGGAGACAGGCATGGCGCCGAGCAGAGGAGAAGATGGTGTTTGCTTCCTCTCTTCTTCCATCCTGTGTCTAAAAAGTTGGGGGAAAGGGGTGAAGTCAACACAAAGTGGAGAGAAATAACTGGCCTTGGCCATTGTGTGCATAGAGTATGCATACAGTGCAGAAATGCCAGCGTGATCATTTCATGGTACTGTTAAGGTTTTATTGGCAAGAGAAACAGCCAGAGGCACCTGGAAGAGTTCAGAGAAGAGAGAGAAAGTAGACTGGACATGGACGGGGCTCTCTGCATGATGAGGGAGGCTAGTGGGAGGTAGAGAACAGAGCAAGAATAATGAGAATAGCAAAAGCCAAGCATAGTGAGAAGAGCTGGGTTATAAAAAGAATGAGCAGCTGTGGGAGTGGGGAGCCTATGAACTGGAGGGCGTATAGTGGAGAGAAGGAGGTGAGAAAGGCTAGGATGTTAGTATGGACTTTGAAATGTGTAACAGGTACTTGTGATACTGACTACCATGGAGGCCAGCATAGGATTTGGTAAGCTGATAAGTGTCACCGGTAGCCATACATCCCTTCTACCAGAGGGAAGGGAAATGACTCCATTTGCCAGATGGGAACCAGTTTCATGAGTTCCTGTGGAATGCTGGCTTTTATCTAACTTCCAGAAATACTCCAACAGTCCAGGCTGAGCTAGCTCACTTCTGGATATATGAACAGTCTTTTGGAGGCTGGGAAATTGGAGTTTCCTTTGGACCTGACAGCTGTGAGATTTTTATCAGAAGCAGTGCAAAGGCGATTTGGGAGTCAAACAATGGTTCATAAACATCACTTTCATCCTCCATAGCCAAGACAGTCAGAGAAGAGGCACGATTTACGTACCGTCTAGAAAACGTCCTGTGAGGAGAGATTACCAGTAAAGAGCAACTCTGCATGGCAAACGTAAGTTAAAGGCTGCAAGGCGGGTGAACACCTGTGAACCTTGGGAAGGAGGGCAGAGTAGAAGAGTCCCGAGCGAGCGGACCTAATCTAGAGCTAGGGACTCTGCAGGAGTAACAAGTTTGCATCCATCTAAGAGGCTTGCCCCTCAGTCCAGCAGCAATGAAACAAATCTACTGAGAAAGTAGGCGGGGATTTCTGTCCCCTGGGAGAAGAATCACTGCTCCCTCCCAGCTTCACAGCAGGCGGTGGGGGTGGGAAGGCGGGGTAAGTGTGGTGGGAAACAGTGCAATTTCCTCTTTACTTTCACAGCCTTAGTGCAGAATCCAGAATGGATGTCCTCTTCTTAGCCGCCCTTGCTGTGCCACTTATCCTGGGGAAGTCAACTCCTGAGCCCGAGCCTGCCAGTCCTTTTCTTATAAAGGACCTGAGAGAAGAGCTAGAAGGAGAAGGTAAATGGGCATGTCAGCGGAGGGTGGGGAGGGTGGGGAGGGTGGGGAGGGTGGGCAGGGTGGGGGGGTGATGTGCTTTCTCCGGGGTCGGGGGCATAGTAGAGACCTGGAAAGTGGAGCCAGAAAAACAAACAAAAAAGCAAAGCTAAGTCCTGTCAAAGAAGAGAAGGCTGATAGCAAATGGAGCCCCAAAGAGAGTTCCTTCAGCAAAACTGAGCTCAGATTTCTGTAAAAGTCCCCACAAAGCTGAACAGAAGAGTGAGGAGCCGGACAGGAAGGAGGTGGGTGCTCAGAAGCCAGGGAGTGAAACTAGTGAGACCAGAGTAACTCCTTCCTACCAAGTAGAAGGAAGACAAAAAACAAAACAAAACAAAAAACCCTACCTATTAGCAAAGACATAGGTATGGGAGCCAAGCTTCATGACACATGCCCCAGCTCTGGGGAGAGGGTCAGAAATTTAAGGCCAACCTTGACTACACAGTGAGTTCTTGACTAGCCCCAAAACATAACCCCACCTCCCACCCAGCAAGGCCTGGTGGTGCATCGCACGCCTTTAGTGCCAGCACTCAGGCGGCAGAGGCAGGCAAATCTCTGAGTTTGGGGCCAGCCTTGTCTCTAAAACAAGTTCCAGAACAGCCAGGGCTACACCGAGAAACCCTGTCTCAAATAAATAAATAACCCCTATTTCAGAAAACAAAACCAAGTTGGGTGTGGTAGCTCACGCCTTTAATTTCAGCCCTCTAGAGGAGAGACAGGAGAATCTCTGCGTTCTAGGCTGGTTGGGGGTACATAATGAACCCTGCCTTAAAAAAAAGACATAAATATGGATTGGCCTATAGGATAGTAGAAAACTGGCTGTCTTCAGAGACAGAGTCCCAGGAGTAGCTTGGCTCCTTCCCTTCTTTGTTCTCTAGTCTGCCAGGTGTGTCTCATTGTCTCCCTTTCCCGTGTCCTTAGTTTGGGGTTAAAGGGAGGATGGATTTAGCAGAAGGCCTAGAATTCGGGATTCAATTATCAACGCCACCATTTTTAGTTTTGGAAGGGAAGAGGAGCTATGATGGGTCATTTGGTCCAGCTGACTCATTTTAAGGAAAGGGATGTGAGGCTGGCCATGGTGGTACACGCCTTTAGTCCCAGCATTTAGGAAGCAGAAGCAGAACTAGGCAGATCTCTGTGATTTCAAAGCTGAACTGGTCTATACAATGAGTTTCAGGACAGCCAGGGCTATGTATGGAGCCCTATATGTAGGCTCAAAAAAAAAAAAAAAAGTGGGGGGGAGGGGAATAAACGGATTGTTCAACCGTCTGCTTAGTTAGCAGTGAAGCTGGAGGTAAACCCAAATTTAAAAGCCTGAGATGTTAGTGATTTTGTGAGAGAAATTTGGGAGCATATGGAATCTATATGATTTTTCTGAATTTCTGGTCTCTGTCTTCCACTCACAAAGGGTTTACAGCTCCTATGGGGCTTAGCACACGTGAAGGGATCTGTTTTCTGTCCTGGGAGTTCTGCACTGAAAGCAGACTGCTGGCCTCCCTCGCCTGGGCGGGTTTGGAGGTACAGAGGCAGGGAGAGGAGACCTCTGGAGGGGAGGCAGAAGGAAAGAAAACCGGGAGATGTGGGATCAACTCCCCGTGTGCTGTTGCTGAGGAGCTCCGGAAGCTTCTGACCTGTAGCTCTTGTCCCTGCAGGACAGGAATACGAGGCCGAAGAAGAGTTTGACGAGTTGGATGAGAGTGAATACTATCAAGTGTATTATTATTACACAATTACCCCTAATTACGGTGCGTATATGAGAGACTCTGGCTCAGGGTGGGGTCGGAAGAGATTTGGGGAATGCTTAATTCAAAGATTGCCCTTCACATTGCAACAGAACAAGAGGATCACACAAAATTTTGGTTGTAAGCAAAACTTATCGAGATTCTTGATATTTCTCAAGCTCATGATTTTTTTTTAAGAAAATTAAGAATTATTATAGCTGGGCAGTGGTGGGGCATGCCTTTAATCCCAGCACTTGAGAAGTAGAAACAGGTAGATCTCTGTGAGTTCAGGCCAGCCTGGTCTACAGAGTGAGTTCCAGGACAGGCTCCAAAGCTGCAGAGAAACCTTGTCTCAAAAAGCAAAGACAAACAAAACAAAACAAAGATTTAGCCAGGCATGGTGATGCACCTTTAATCCCAGCACTCGGGAAGCAGAGGCAGATGGATCTCTGTGAGTTCTAGGCCAGCCTGGTCTACAGAGTGAGTTTCAGGACAGGTAAGGCTGTTAAACAGAGAAACCCTGTCTCAAAACAACAAAACAAAAATTCGGTTTTCATTATTATTTTAAATTACATATATTGGGTGGGGGTGCTTGTACGTGAGCGACGTTGCCATGGAGATCAGTGCTGTGAAATCCCACTGAAGCTGGAATCAGGAGAGACTGAAAGCTGCTCAGTATGGATTCTAGAAACTAGACTCAGGCCCTCTGAAAGAGAGTACCTGTTCTTAACTGCTAAGCCATCTTGCCAGCTCCGGCTCCAATTTATAAACTTTTGTTTGTTTGTTTGTTTTGTTTTTCAAGACAGGATTTCTCTGTAGCTTTGGAGCCTATCCTGGAACTAGTTCTTGTAGACCAGGCTAGTCTCGAACTCACAGAGATCCGCCTGCCTTTGCCTCCTGAGTGTTAGGATTAAAGGCATGCGCCACCACCGCCCAGCTCATAAACATTTTTAGCACTTAAAATAACTAGAAGTAGACGGTACCTACACATCTTATAACTTAGTAAAGGTGAAGTATTCTGAGCAGTTTCTTCCCCTTTTATTTCTGTTTTTTTTCCCCCCTTTTTCTCTTCTCCAGATGACTTTGGTGCTAACTTCACTATCGATTACTCCATGTTTCAGTCGGAGGATAGGTTGGTGAGTGACTTCTCTGTCTAAGAGGGTCGGGACAAATAACAGTCAAACAGAAACTGGGAAGAGCTGAAGTGTCACTGGTTAGCAAGAGTCAAAATCAGGGCTGGGTATGGTTGTCCACTCCTATAATCCCAGTACTTGGGAGGCAGAGGCAGGAGGATTGCCACGGGTTGAAGGTCAGCCTGGTCTACATAGCAAGTTCCAGGCCAGCCAGGACTATTTAATAAGACTGTCTTAGCAAGAACAGAAAACAAGCAAGAAAAGAAAGCCTGGTAGATAGAAACTAGGAAGTGGGTCCCACACAGCCTCTTAACTGTGGCTGGGAGAAGGAAGCCAGAACCTAGTCGCTTACTGACAGTTGAAGGAGGAGCAGTCGAGGGACTTGTTGAATGGAATACATAGATCATCCATGCTGGCCCTGGACCCAGACAATCCCTGGCCTTAAGTTTTAGCCATGTGGGGTTGGGGGTGAGGTAGGAGGCTTGCTGGAAGGGGATGTGAGACGGTAGAGATGATGACTGTTTCCCAACCCTACCGAGGTCAGAACGGGTTGAAGAAGGAGGTGACTACAGAGGCAGTGGAGACCACTATTAGTTTCCACACAGAACTCGCGGACCCTCAGAATCCCGTGACCATGAGACCAGTGACTACAGAGCCAGTGACTACAGAGCCAGTGACTACAGAGCCAGTGAGTCAAATGGGGATTAAGGAGGAGGGCAGTGTGACTCTCTTACCCTGACAGATCCCAGGCATATGACCTTGAATAAACAGAGGGCTGGTTCTGGTGGAGGAGAGAACCAACGGTTAATACTTCCACGTAGGCATTCTAATTTGGTGTCCCTGCGCTGTGTTGAAACACTGACTTGGGGAGGAAAGGGTTATTACAACTCCCAAGTCACACACCCAGGGCAGGAACTCAAGCCCGGAGCTGCAGCATAGACTTCAGAGGCACACTGCTTACTGGCTCGCTTCAGCTTGCTCAGCTTGCTTTTTTATACCATTAGCCCACGGTGGGCTGGCCCTTTCCATATCAATCATTAATCAGGAAAATTCTCCCAAAGACATTCCCACAATCCAATCTGATGGTGACAACTCCTCAGATGAGTTTCCATCTTCCCAGGTGACTCTGTTGTGTCAACTAACCAGCAGAACAGGTATCACACGGGCCACATCACCTGTGTGGAGGCCAGAGGACGACTTCGGGGAGTCAGTATGTCAGGCATGAGTGGCACATGCTTTAACTGCTGAGCCAGTCCAGACTTTGTTTTAGATACAATTTAAGACTAAGACAGCTTTTGCTTGTTAGGTGTTCTCAAAGAAAAGGGGGGGAAAAAAAAAAGGAAGACTAGTTATTAAAGCTGCCGAGGGAAGAGAAGCAGAGCGAACAGCTGTGCTTGGTGACGAGGATATGAAGAAGGAAAGTATGAGGGTAGGAGCAGGACAGTAGGAATCAAGACACATGCACAAGGGTTGGGGTGCAAAGGAAACTCAAGAATTCAGTTTTTGCCATGTGGGGTTGGGGCCAGGAGTCTTCCTTGCAGCACAGGGTGATGAGGAGAAAAACTCTAAACAGGCCATTTGTAGGGGGGCTACTGGATAGAAGCAAGAGCAACCCAAATGACCTAGCAAGACTCTATTGGGGGGAAAAATGGCCAGGCATGGTGACACATGCTTTTAATTCCAGCATTCAGAGCCAGAGGCAGGGGGATCTCTGTGAGTTCCAGGCCAGTTTGGTCTACCGAGCAAGTTCCAGGCCAGAGAGAGATAAATAATAGACTTTGTCTTAGAAAACTTTTTTTTTTCCCCCCGAGACAGGGTTTTCCTGTGTAACAGTCCTAGCTGTCCTGGAACTAGCTCTTGTAGACCAGGCTGGCCTCGAACTCACAGGGATTCACCTGCCTCTGCCTCTGGAGTATTGGGATTAAAGGCATGTGCCTCCACTGCCCGGGGTTAGAAAACTTTTTTTGGCAGTGCAATGGCTCATTAAATAAAGGCACCTGGGCTGGAGAGATGGCTCAGCGGATAAGAGCATTGCCTGCTCTTCCGAAGGTCCTGAGTTCAATTCCCAGCAACCACATGGTGGCTCACAACCATCTGTAATGAGGTCTGGTGCCCTCTTCTGGACTACAGGCATACATGCAGACAGAATATTGTATACATGATAAAATAAATAAATATTTTTTAAAAATAAATAAATAAATAAATAAATAAATAAATAAATAAAGGCACCCGCTAAGAAGCATGAGGACCTGGGTCAAGTTTGCTCCCTGAGTCCTGCTTGGTAGGATAGAGAGATTCCAAGAGTTGTTCTTTGACCCCCACACACGTAACATCCCATGCCCTCCTACCTAAATAAATAAATGTAAAAAATTGCACAAGGCCGATCATATTTGTGTAGTAATATTATATACATAAAGTTAGGGATAAATAGGTGGTCTGAAGTGCCAGGCTGGACTTTGTGTTGATACACAATGAGGAGCCTGGTAAGCCCTCCAGGTAGGATGAAGACAATGGAATCAAATTTTAGGAAAACTCTTCATCTGACTAAATGCAAGATGCATAGTGGAAAAGTTTATGCTGTCCAGGAAACACCCGATAAAGGGCTGGACTAGGGGAATGGCACATAAATTGAGAGCAGAAGAATAAAGTTAGAAGAAAATGCTTCTCTTCAGTAGTAATCCTATAAAAAAGGGGGGGGGTTAAAATGACTTGCAGACTTTAATGATGTTTGGGGAGGACCAGAGAGATGGCTCAGATGGTACAGATGTCTGTCACAGGATGATCTGAATTCAATCCCCAGGACCCATGTGATGGAAGGAAAGAACGAACCTTCAAGTTGTCCTCTGACCTCTCCACATAATCACACATATATGCACCAACACACACATGTACATATTAAACAGAAATAGGATCTAATAAACATGTTTGGGGAAATCGTTGACCAAAATGGGAACTCTCAGAGGCCAGTGTGGCTTAGGTTGGGAGTGCTAATTTTGACAGTCCCGTGTGGGTGTTCTGAAGGCAGCTGAACTAGATCAGGAATAGAGACCCAAGGGCAAAGTTACAGTTGTGAAAGTAGCAAGGCCAATGACTCAGTCAGTGGAGGAAGAGAAATCAACCAAGGAAAAGGAAGAGGCAGGCAGGCAGCCAACTTTTTTTTTTTTTTTTGCATTATAGGGACTAGAAGAGAAAACTTGATATAATCAATCAAAGGCTACCGAGAACCCAAAACCTAACTCAAAAATAAGGAAGTCTCATGTACGTGCTTTTAATCTCAGCATTCAGGAGGCAGAGGTAGAAAGATCTCTCTGAGTTCAAGTCTAGCCTGTTCTACACAGTGAGTAGTAGGAAAACCAGAGCAATGTAGAGAGACCCTGTCTGAAAAAAACAAAGAAATAAAATAAAGAGGCGAGCAGGGAGAGAAGAGATTGGGTGTATGTAGCTCAGCGGTAGCGCTCTTGTATGGCATTTGTAAATCTCTGGTTTTCATCCCTACGGGGGTGTGTGTGATGATGAACATTATGATGAAATGTAGAGAATATAGACCCATCTGAAAAATATGAAATCAAAACCAAAAACAAAACAGAACAATGACTATCAAGGGCAATGCAACAGAATGGGAAAACAGCCTCCATGCAGTTGAATACAAATGAGAGGACCCAGCAGGACTGGCGAGCAAAGCCTGACACTAAATTCCCCACAGGTTTATAAATGTACAGTAGGCTCTCTGTAGGTGGTAAGCCCCTCTTACACGCAGGAACATAATAATGTCTCATCTATGACCCCCAAAGCACCTACCACAGTGAATAGCACAAAGTCATGCACACAAAAGATAAAACATCAAATGCCATTGAGAGTCGTGGCCTCCTAAGTAGGAAGAATTCTTTACAGCGATGGGGAGGAGGGCTGAATCTCCTTTGAGACCTGAGGTAAGGAAAAAGGGGGTTAGTGTAAGGAGGTGGCTATCTTCCTGGAGGGGGAATGGGAATTGTTAGGAAGAGTGACAATGACCTATTGTGTGGGGGGATGTTTTAGCAGATTCCAGATCAGAATGATGCCATGTCCAGTCTGCAGAGTTCTGTGTCCTGTCTTCTCTTATGGACCCTCCTTCAAGGGGGGCTGCATTTTATGTAGAAGGTAAGAGGGCAGCCACAGGCTTTGGTGGGGTGCTATGAAGCAATTCTTACCAACCTGCTCAGTTCTCCCATGCTTAAGGAAAGAAGCAGGGTCACATTTAGAAATTTCTAATTATCTAATCTTAAAACCTGGAATGAGTTGGAACAAAGACTTGTGAAGCCATTCATTTATTCTGGTCTGGGAGGACTTTCAAGACCTCCTAGGAAAGAGGCAGGCTGAATGGAGAAGCCTTTTTCCAAGCTCTCAACAAGCCTGGAAAAGTCAGGGCTGATTCTGCCCAGGTTTGAAGTTATGGCAGGTGCCAGAGGTCAAAATGGGTGTGTCTTACAACCCTGTAGAGCCAAGAGGCAAAGTTCAGCAGGAGGAGGAAGGAGGCATGAAAGGGACACATCTTTCTCAACCAAGAATGGAGAATCCATCTTAGAACATGAAATGTGTAAGGTCTGCATAGAAAAGGAGCAAGGGGAGACTTCCTCGCTTCTTGGATTTATTGCTTTCAAGTGTGTGTATAGAGGAGGGATGTATACTTGAGTGCGGAGCTTAGGAGGCCAGAGCCCGCAGAGTTCCAGGAATGGGAGTTTACTGGGGTTTGGGAACCGCCTGGCATTTGTGCTGGGAATTGAACTTAGTCAGCCAATTGTCAATAATGGGTGGGTAGCGCTCGCTTTTAAACCCAGCACTTGAGAGGCAGAGGCAGGTGGACCTCTGATCCTCCGAAGCCAGCCTGGTTTACAGAGCGAGTTCCAGGACAGCCAAGGCCACACAGAAAGATCCTGTCTTGAAAAACAAAACAAAACGAAGTGTGTCCTCTTAAACATCAAGTCAGCCGCCTGATTCTATTTTTATTCCCCTCCCTCCAGGTGAGAGAAGGCTGCTATGACTCTTCAGACTAGAGTTTGGCAAGAAGTTGGTTGAAAAATAAAATAGTTTTGTCTACTTCTTAATGACTGTTCTAAAGTCAACACGTACACCAAAACTTGGGGGGCATGAAGGACAGATCAGAAAGAGAATTAGAAACCAGTGTAGTAGTGCATGCCTAGAATTCAGGAGGCAGAGGCAGGCACATCTCTTGAGTTCGAAGTCAGCCTGGTCTGCAAAGAGAGTTCCTCTAGGGCAGCCAGGACTACATAGAGAAACCCTGTCTCAGAAACAAAACAAAACAGAACAACAAACAAAAACCCTTTGAATTAGATGTCAGTTAATTAGAAGGACTCATACCCCGTAAATGAACCTGGTTTGGGGTAGAAAAGAGAAAACTCACAGATGACAGGTTTATTCTGAGCCTGTAATTCTAATTCTTTTTTTTTCCTTCTAATCTTTTTTTTTTTTCTAACGGTCTCACGTGGCTCAGGCTGGTCTTGAACCGATCTCCTACACCCAACCCCTACGATTACAGCAGGAATGAGACATCATACCCAGCTTAATTATATTTTATATGATATTGTCTTGAAACTTTGGGGAAACAGTGCTGAGGTTTAATTTAGAAACCCTTTTCCTTTTTCTAAAATAGCCACATTGCTAAATATAAGTAAAGAGTATTTGAATATATTTAAAATAATCATGCATTCTCCAAACCCCGACTTATATTTCTGTTCAACTTTTTGTTTTAGTAAGAACATGCATTTAAAAAATATTTAGTCTCTGTCCTCCCGACCCTAGTCAGAACTAGAGTGCCCCCTTGCGATCCCTCTGCTGTCTTCAAATTACAGGGTCTCATTCCTCATTTGCTTTAACTCTGACTTGGTAAAACGGATGTTAGCGTCTATGGGTGACTCTGGACTTGCTCTTTTCATTCCTCAACGTCTTTCCAGTCTTCTCAAAGGGACAAATAAACTGGCGCCAGATAAAGCCATAACCTTGAGGATCAAGGACTCTACTCTGTTCCCTGTGCTGAGAATCAGAGAATTCTGAATTGAAGGGTCCCAAGGGCCCGGGGCAGAAAAGTCAGGGACGAGTTCGGCTTTGACCCCAGAGTCTTGGCGGGCTGGCATCTGAGATGGTAACGTGTGTGGCGGGTTATGTAAGAACCGGCTGGAGAAGCTGCTCGGCGGGAGCCCCGGAGAGAACGCGCTGTTCCGGCTGCAGTCCCCACCCTCCTCACCCAGCAGGGCAGGAGGCACCCAACTATCAGCCGAGGAGGGGAGGATGAAAGAGTGGGGAGTCACGAGGGCGAGCCGCCGACACAGGAACGGATGCCCGGCGTCACACGTCCGTTGTCACACACGTTGCGGACACGAGTTGCTGAGGGCTCCCACGTGCTGCGCCCGTGCGCGGAGGCGCTCGGAGGGGCCCACGTCCCGAGGCACCGCCTCCGTAGCATGGTCTCGCTCTGCACACTCCAGCCGCGCAGTCTCCCGCGCAGCTCCGTCCTATTTAAGGCTACGAGCTCCACCCTTTTCCGCCCCTTGCTTCATTTTCACTTTTTTTCCATCCTCCTTTTTATCACCGGAGGAGCCGCATGTACGGGTGGAGCATCGACTGCTTCCCTTCCAGCCAATCACCACTTGGCTGCTTCTCTATTGGCCGAGCCCCCGCGTGCGGTAGCAAATGGGCTGTGAGTATCTGTATCTAGAGTCACATGTTGCCGGCAAGCTGTCCAATAAGAGCACGAGATCTGTGTACGCAGGGGGAGGCACGTGCAGAGCCGCACGTGTCTGGGAGGGGGAAGGGGCGGGACCCACAGAGTGAGGCGGAGGTGGGTCGGCTAGACCGGCGCAGACTGTGGAGGAAGCGGAGGGGAACCGAGCCCGAGCGGGGCTGAGCCGGCAGACCCAGGTGAGCGGACCAGAGCGGAGCGCTCCGGAAGACTGACGCGGACGGAGGGAGTGGGCTTGTGAGACCGCAGATCTGGGTGTTGGGAGGAATTGCATCACCTGAAAGGTGCGACCATAGGCTGACCGGCCGCAGGGCACCTGACGGTGAGGGATGCGAAAACCACGGAGACGGGTGTCCATGGGGACAGTCCCCATAGGGATCTTAGGTGGGTTTTGGTGAGCAGATGAGCCACTAGCGGGTGGCTTTTTAGGTCGATAATCTCACTATGAGGTCTGGAAGGGAAAAGCCCAGAACAGCAGACGGAGGGGAAGGTGTAAAGTCGGGTATTCACTCTGAACCCAAAGGAAGAAAGGCTGTGTGGGGTCAAGAGCCGTGGGCCGGCGGTTTGAATTTTGAATGGGAGTGGAAAAACAAGTTTTTTTCTTGTTTCTGTTGAGAACGCCCCAGTCTCCCAGGCCCTTTCCTAATCCTTTGACTCTGATTTCAGAGTCCCTCGCTTTGCTTTTCAGTTGCGGGCTCTGAGCTTTGGTACTACAGGAGCCGCTCTTCAGCCTCTGCTCCTGGACCTATGGATTCTCCATCTAGCGTTTCTTCTTGTTCCTCCTCCTCACTCTCCTCGTCATTTTCCACATCCCCTGTGAACAGTGACTTTAGCTTCCCCTCTGATAATGAGAGGGAAGGCAAGAGCGCCCATGGGCTCAGGCCAGAAGCTGTTGGGCAAAGGGGAGGTGCCCAGCCCAGGCCGGGTCCTATCCGTTGCAGACATCGACCCAGGGTTTCTGGTAACCAGCATACAGCATCTCATCTGGAACAGCGAGGATCTAGGGTCAAAAGATCAAGAGATGGGGAACTGGAGACCAGTGTACACACCCAGGGATGTTTCACAGAGGGAGACCTGCTTTTTGCTCAAAAGGTAAGAGAAAGCAGGAGAGAGGTCCTTACTGGTCGGTAAGGACCCTGAGAGGATGATTCTGGCCACCAGATACATGACAGCAGAAAAATCCCGGCTGTCTTTTTGCTGTTTTCCTACAGTGTAAAGAACTCCAAGGGTTCATACGGCCCCTCACAGATCTACTGAACGGACTAAAAATGGGCCGCTTCGACAGAGGTAATAAACTGACTGATTATGTTTCTGGGGCCGGGGGATAGTAATGCCCTTCTCTGTGTGAAATGTACATTTCTTAAATCTCTTCTTTGGGACCTGGGCTATTCCCTGTTTGCATCTGCACCTTGATTTCTTTGGGTGAATCGATTTTAACCCCCATCTACCTCTGTCTTTACATCTACCTCAGTCCTCACCTCTGCTTTCTCTCCTGCTGGGCCATGAACCTAGTACCTTATGTGGCAGACAAGCTCTCTGCCACTGAGCTACATTCCACCCCCCTGACCACCTTCTCCTTCACCCTAGGATTGAGTAGCTTCCAGCAGAGTGTGGCCATGGACCGGATACAACGTATAGTGGGTGTTTTACGGAAGCCTCAGATGGGGTAAGTCTCCCTGTTTCTTTCTTCCTCCTCAGTATCTCATGGGCGGAGGCCTGTACAATTCTCCATGTCTCTTTTTTCATACTTAGTGACTTTTAAAATTACCTTTTCCCACAGAGAACGTTACCTAGGGACTTTGCTGCAAGTGGAAGGGATGTTAAAGACTTGGTTTCCTCATATAGCTGCCCAGAAGTCATCCTTAGAAGGGAGCAGGCATCAGATAAACAAGGTAAGACTCTCAAAACTAAGGAACAATCAAGAAATGGACTGTGTGTGGAGAAATGTGTTCCTCTTCCCATTTTCCTTAAGTTTTTTGTTGTTGGTGGTGGTTTTTGGGGTTTTTGTTTTTTTCAGGGAAAGGAATGCCCAACTTTGTGCATTCCTGTACTTTTTATATTTAGCTTAGAAGTTGGTTCTATTTTGTTGGGATCTCCTGTTGCAGCAGGAAGACACCTCAGTTTTCCTCTGCAAATCCTTCTTTCCTTGCAGCCCTCCAAACCCTTACCCTCTCCCCCTTTTGACTCCTGTCAAAATATCCTAGGCCAAACCTTATGCGTCTATAATAGTGGGTTTCTTTTTCTGTTTGCTTTTGTTGTTTTCAAGACAAGGTTTCTCTGTGTAGCTCTGGCTGTCCTGGAACTCACAGAAGTCCACTTGCCGCTGCCTCCTGAGTGCTTGTATTAAAAGCAATTGCCACCATGTCCAACTAAGTCAACCATAATTTTTAATGATGTGAAAATAATTGACTGAAAAGTAACAGGATATGCCTCGTGGAGAACCAAAACATGGAAAATGAGGATCTTCAACTCAGAAATCAGGACGTTAATTCATTTACACTTCTCTGGATGGGGTGTGATTTATTAATGTTCTCCAGCCACATAGCAGGCCTGGGTTTGATTCTCTTAACACCACAGGGGGAGAAAAAAAAGGCTTTAAAGAAACTAAACAGGAATCACTGTGTAAATAGTGAGAACTGTAGGTTTTATCTTGTCCGTTTCTGGTGTTACAGAGTTGTTATGTGTTACACAGTCGCCTATCAGCTGTTGGTTGGATAAACGGAAGCATTACGTGATTGCTACAATTTTTACCTAATCATCACCTGGCAAGAACACATCTGTTGCACAAAACAATGTGTGTTTGCCCTGCACAATGCGTTCTCGTGGACAGCAAAGGTCCAGGCTAAGCAGAGCTAATCTGTAAGCTTCTCTTAACCATTGGTTGTTTCTCTTTCCCTACTCTCCAGGACGTCCCAAGCCACCACAGTGACTCAGCTGCCTCCTCTCCTGCACCTCTCATGGAGAAGCTGGGCCAAACACAGCTAGGACATGTAGTGTTGAAACCAAAGCAGCCTTGGCATCTGACAGAGTGGCCAGCTATGAACCTCACCTGGAGTCATAACACTCCCATTTGTAACCCTCCCCTCAGTCCCCAAGGCTCCGCCTCCAGCCACAGTTCCCAAGGCCCTGCAGCCAGCATTGGTGTCATCCTTGTCCTCCAGAAGACAGGAAAGCCCTTCACCCACTCCGCCCCCGGCACTCCGATCCCATCAGCTGCACTGTCTCCTGTCAGCCCTGGTGATCTGAAGAAACCATCTGGAGAGGGGTCTTGCTGCCACAGTTTGCCAGTAACGCTGCCGTCAGACTGGAGCACCCTCTGTCCCCCTGCTCTCCCTGCCACAGCCGGAG